TCCACCCGCCTCGGCCTCCCAAAGTGCTGGGATTACAGGCTTGAGCCACCGCGCCCGGCCCTATCTTTATGAATTATATGGTGTTCATATGTTATGTTACATTACAACCACATGTTATACTATGTCAAAACTATAGTGTCAGACCAAGCACAGTGGCTCACGCCTGTAATCCCAGCACTTTGGGAGGCCAAGGCCGGTGGATCACTTGAGGCCGGTGGATCACTTTGGGAGGCCAAGGCTGGTGGACCAGCTTGGCCAACATGGTGCAACCCCCATCTCTATTAAAAATACAAAAATTAGCCAGGTATGGTGATGGGCACCTGTAATCCCAGCTACTTGTGAGGCTGAGGCATGAGAATCACTTGAACCTGGGAGGTGGAGGTTACAGTGAGCAAAGATTACACCACTGCACTCCAGCAAGGGTGACAGAGCGAGACTCCGTCTCAAAAAAAAAAAGAAACCATACTGTCCAAATGCCACACAAAATATTTTCACTTCTAGAGGAGATAAAATAAAATCTTATGATAAGGAATCAGGATGTCACTATGTAATCTAATCTTAGAATCACTAATTGGGAACAATTGGATAATAGGTTTCTCCTAATGTGATGTAACATGAAATATACAACATCATTTATGGTGCATTCCAGCTCAAAAACGTTTAAGTTCTGTCTTCTGAGCCTTTAGATCTAGCTTCCCAGTTACTACTAAAATTCAGCAGAGGCAAAAATAAGTTAAAAGATACTACAAAGACACAACCAAGTGAGTGTTCTTGGATTGGACAAACAGCTATAAAGCATAATTATGTTACAATCAGTGAAATATAAATATGGACATGTGTGACAGATGGCCATGAATTCTTTCTAGTTCCCTTCTTCAAAATGTGAAGTCTATTTCCCCATCACTTGACTCCAGGCTGGTGTACTGTTGAGAGTGAGGCTGAGTTCCAGTGTCTAGCCTCAGGACGCCCAGCAGCCTCCCCTTTTGCCTTCTTGGCAGTAGTTGCTAGCTGCCCTGATACTAACTAGGCTATGAAAACGCTGATCTACTGTACTGGAGGATGAGAGGCCATATGGAGGAGAAAAGAGGTGGCCCAGCCAACAGCTAGCACCAATTACCAGACATGAGAATGAAACCATCTTAGGCCTTATAGCCCAGCCAACTTTCCATCTGAACGCCAGGTGAGTGAGCCCAGGCTAACCCATCAGAGAACTGCTCTGATCAGCCAACTCACAGGATCATGAGAAAATAAATCATTGTTTAAGTTATGAAATTTTAGGTGGTTTGTTATACAGCAATAAATAACTTGCAAAACTGGGTTTTAAATAAAAATTTATTAGCTGGGAAAAGTAGGCATCATTAACTGAAAGATCTGCTTACAAATCATATACAGGACAAACTCATTTTGATAAAACACACACATACAGACATACAAACAAAAAGACCTAGAAGAATACATACTGATAACAGAGGGGTTTATAATAAGGTACACTCTGGGTAGTAAAAATATGTTTTCATTTTCCTATTTTTGCTGTCCTGTATCTTCTGTATGCATATATAAAGCTTTTGCAGTAATAAAACTTTAAAAATACATATATATATATATTTTTAAAAGGTTTATGGTATTTACTTAGTCATCAGACAAATTGTCAGCAAGGTCCCTGAAGAGCTAGACATGTAAGTTCCTGCTGATACCTCACAAAAAGCTGGATAAAGTCGGTCAATCAATAAACCTTTTGGGACTGTTACAGGCTGAACTGTATCTTCCCAAAACTCATTATGTTGAAGTCCTAGCTTCTGGTACCTCAGAATGTCACTGTAAATGGGAGTTAAAATGAGACCTAGGGTGGACCCCAAAGCAATCTGACTGGTATCCTTATAGGAACAAGAAATTTGGGCACAAAAAGAGATAGCAGGGGCACACATGCATAGGGGACAACATGTGAAGAGGCAATAAGAGGGTGACCATCTGCAAGTCAAGGGGAGAGGCCACAGAAGAAACCAACTCTAGCGTCACACTGACCTTGGACTTCCAGCGTCCAGTACTGTGAAAAAATAAATTTCTGTAGTTTAGATCATCCAGTCCTAGCAAACTAATACAGGGACCAAGTATATAGCACAATATTTGGGAAACTGACCTAGTGTGCATTACAGCACTGCAAACAAATAATTGAACCATAAAAATAGTTTATATTTCTCATCTAAATTCCTGGAAAGTTTTCATCTTTAAAAGTCAAGTAACTGCTGTAAACAGACACAAAGAATAAATAAATTATTGTGACCAGAAGATAAAAGAGCATGCTTTCTAAATGCAACACCTCTCTCACTGTGGAATGAATATGCTGTGTAGTTCACATTCCACTCATGAGTTAGCATAAGAAATGGGTTTTTTCGTTTTGTTTTGGATTTGTTTATTTAGGGCCAATGAAAAAGAGCAAAAGTAATGGAGGGCCAACAATGAAAAAGCAACATGATTAAGGACTATCGTTTTCTAGCCAAATACAAAACATTTCACTCATATCTACTCCTAAATTTAAAATGTTTTATAAAAATTACAATATTTAAACAATTTTTAAAAACATATTGAGTATAGTTAAGAGAACAGAAAAAAAGAAGAGAGGAGGCAGAAAGGGTTGGGGGGTGGGCAGGCTAGAACATAATGCAGAGTCCAGGAACCTGTTTTCTTAACAGCTTCTGACTCAGACAACCTTAGACATGTGATTTAACTTTTATGAGTTTGTTGTCAAGGAAGAAACCTGAACAAGATAATCATTTCTCAAACAGTCCTCATGGACTTCCTAAGGCTTTCCTGTAAATTATTCTAGGGTAAAGAACAGAAAGAAACTGGTAGGGCTTGGTACCCTTAGGCCAGATATAAGCAGAGCTACTCCTTTCCATTTGTTTTCCATTTGAATTTGTGTATGTTCATCTGAGAGAAAGGTACTGCACTAAAAACACTTGAAACTGTTGTATCAGAATGCTCTGTCACCTCCAACAGTCTTATTGTTCATGTGGGTAGATACTAAAGACATACATATGAAAAAATCAACAACACAGCAGATACACACAGGAGGCAGAATGAAGGGCTAAATGATATTGACTCACTGGAACAACAGGCAAATGATAACGTTAATGGAGACTCTAAGAGGACAGAAGAGAGTGTGCTCTACATGAATAAAGATTTAGAACTGTTAACTGATGGTAAGCATTGCAAAATGATCATGAAGTGAAATGTCACGGCTCAAAAGGTGAATGCAATCTTAGGTATCATTAATAAAAATATAGTTTCTAAAATAAAAGCATTCAACAAAATGGCCAAATATATATTAAAAACTGGTTTATATTACCAATAATCAAAGAATACAGGCAGCAACTTAGGGAAACAGAAGACAGACATTGGAATGAGTCAGACTTGAGCCCCAGTCTTCGAGCATACTTCAATTCTACGTAACTTCAGGACTGCAGCTTCCAGAACGCTGACATCATTAATGAGGGGATCCTGCAGTATCTGAGGGCCAGTGATATTATGGAATACACCTAGTGTAACAGCTGGCATATTGTAGGCACTCAAGAAATAGCTAATGCTTGCAGGGCACTATGTGAAATTCTAGCTCATCTAATCCTTACCATAATGCTAGGAGAGAATTATAACACATACATACAAATTAACACAAGGATGGGACCAAAATGGTAACAGATGAAATCTTCAATGATGGTAGAATACTAGAAGCACTGCCATTTCTCTAGTGGGAACAGAAAATGGTGCAACTTTTCTGCAAAGCAATCTGACAATGTGTTACTGAGGGCTTTTCCAAAGATCATATATCAGGTCCAGCTCTATTCAAGAAAGGAATGGATTCAGAAAGTACCTAGGGTGGAAATGGGAATGTAAATGGCTAACTGATTAGTGGCTAACCAAGTTTTTCACCAGGAATGCAAAGCATCTCTAGGAACAGAAGTCTTTTCTTTCTTTTTTATTTTTCCCCATTACTGGTTTCCATGAACATTCCATTGTCAGCCTACACCTGTTCACTGCGAGAACTCCGAAAGCAGAAATTGGCCTACTTCACCAATCAGTTCCTCACATTTGAATGGAAGCATACTGCCCAGGGAGGTAGATACCTGTAACAATTCAACTGTTTCTTTTTATTTTTATTTTTTTTTTGAGACGGAGTTTCACTCATGTTACCCAGGCTGGAGTGCAATGGCACGATCTCGGCTCACCGCAACCTCCGCCTCCTGGGTTCAGGCAATTCTCCTGCCTCAGCCTCCTGAGTAGCTGGGATTACAGGCACGCGCCACCATGCCCAGCTAATTTTTTGTATTTTTAGTAGAGACGGGGTTTCACCATGTTGACCAGGATGGTCTCGATCTCTTGACCTCGTGATCCACCCGCCTCGGCCTCCCAAAGTGCTGGGATTACAGGCTTGAGCCACCGCGCCCGGCCTCAACTGTTTCTTAAGATTAATAAAGGAAGGGTTGGGAGTGGCAGGTCACACCTGTAATCCCAGCACTTTGGGAAGCCAAAGCGGGCAGATCACTTGGGGTAAGGAGTTCGAGACCAGCCTGGCCAACATGGTGAAACTCCATCTCTACTTAAAATGCAAAAATTAGCCAGTCATGGTGGTGCATGACTAGAGTCCCAGCTATTCGGGAGGCTGAGGCAGGAGAATCACTTGAAGCTGGGAGGCAGAGGTTGCAGTGAGCTGAGACTGAGCCATTGCACTCCAGTCTGGGTGACAGAGCTAGACTCTGTCTCAAAAAAGGCGGGGGGGAAGGGGTAATAAAAAGGTGTGGAATAGAAGTATGTAAATTCTTTCATAATGGGAGGCCTCAAATCCAGAACAATGCATGATATTTTAGGAGATGCCGCCACAAAGAATAAGAAGCAGAACAGTTCACTTCTTCTAAGTCCAAAGTATCTTGCCTTTTGAGTACATTATAACTTAAGGCCCAAGGAGAAAGGTTTTCATAAAAAGTCTGATAACAACTGACACTTACCTAAAATGAGATGAAGTTTGGTTTCTGTCTGGAAAGCATAATGTAATGTCACCAAAAACGGCGACTGCCTAATGTGCTCCAGGACTTGCCGTTCTGTCCTTGTATGCTCTGTGGTTTTGGCCTTTTGAACTATTGTTGCCTTTTTCAAAACTTTCATGGCATACAGCTTTCCAGTATCATGTCCACTTATTTTACGAACTAGAAATACTTTTCCATAAGCTGAAAAATGAAAAGAAAAAATAAGAATTAAAATGCTACACAAGAAAAATGATAATTTAGTGGAAATAAATTTCTTTAATGCACAGAAAATACACTCTTTAAATAAAAAGTATCTTTGGTACCAGTTTAAATAGTTCTTTAATAGATTTCTTCAATTTTATACCAAATATATTTCTAGGTCTAACCCTCAATGTTTACATATCTAGCCACTGCTGACAAAATTATGCTTTTACTCTTTTACTGTTATTCTCTCCTCAATATTTTTAGCTGTAGGAAACTGGCTGTTATTATGGTCAACTAACCACAATCCAATTCGGGAACAACCAGGACATTTTAGACATCAGATAAAACTTCTAGGTATATATATGTTACTGATGTAGACAAATGAAAGCAGTTCTCAATAAGAATTTCATATATACATAAATCAAATGCCTCAATTATTCCTCTACAGTTATAAAAAAAAAAGCCTAAAGCAACATAAGCTGACATTATATGAACAAAAGAGATCTTGAGACTTAAAATACAAAAACATCCTAAAATGCATGCAATACAGACAGAAGCCCTTTTGTATCTCTGGACAGTAATTTACAGCTTACTGGGTCAACCTCGCCACACTTTTCATAAGAAGGACTCTGTTGGGCATGATCCTATGTGTGGTGCCCCTTCTCCAGGTAGAGAAATTGGGACCATGTGGGCACTGTGCCTCGTGGACACAGCAGGTTCTCTGTATTTATTTTCTTAGAAAAGTGGGCTAGGGCAGGAAGAAGTGGAAGGAAGAAGAAGGAAGAAGGAAAGGCAAAAAAAACCCAAAACATTTTGGGAATGAATAGGTGAGTCCCTCACTTCATTCCTACAAGGTATCAAATCTCTATAGCTAATCTCTTTAAAAAGACAAATGCTTTCTGGGATGCTTAAGTCCAGTCTGCCTGTTAAATGTCCTAATCAGACCATTATCAAGTCAGTTGGGTTTTGGCCCAGATCAGTGTTCACACTCTGCGGTATTTACCACCTAATTCTATTGTAATCCACCCATTAGAAGAAGGGAGCTTTAAGGGAAGGGCTCTTGTACTCTGTATGTTATTTAGTTCAGTACTTCGACTGGATTAGTACTAACACATGATGTGCAAGGGATCGGTGAAAGACTAAATAATCCTTAGAAGGAGTGCCAACATTTATTAAGGACTTGCCTATGCCAGGCTCTGCACTAAACATATTGATTCACTTAATCCTCACAACAGCCACTTTACCCATGAGGAAATGTGTTCAGAATAGTTACAGAACTGGCCCTAAGACTGGGGCAAGAAGCAGCAGAACTGATTCAAATGCAAAGAGTATGACTTCCGGGACCACACTCTGAACCATAACAAACAAAAAAGTGATACCTCACAAGTGTTAGTAATCAGACATTCTGGATCTTAATACAACCAGTACTGACTGTAAACATACTGAACACATTGCAGGGCACAGAAAAAGTTCACAAAGACTTGTGCATTATCTCATAGTAAATACAATAATTACAGGTTGAGACCTTAGTAAGGCAGAAGTGAACCAAAAGGATGAAACGACAACTTTCAGAACCTAACAAATTAGAATATAAAAATGAAAAAATATTTATCTGTTCAGAAGCAACAAAATGAAGCTAAAAAATACTATGCACTAAGCCTTCCAACAAGGTGAACCACTATATAAACTCAGGAGAAAGTAAAGTCTACAAGCAGCCCTGAAACTTCTGTGTTCCTTACATACACATGGCACCTGCCCTAAATTCTTGTTCTCCCAGATGCCTATCTCCAGAGCACTATGATGTTTAGAAATTAGGGAATCCACCTATGCTTTCAAAACAGGAATTTTTTCCACAACATTATCGAAACACGGCTGTTCAGCTTCTTCCTAGTACATCTGCCCTCAACATAGGTGTTGACCACATATGCGACAGACAGACTGTTGGGTGTTCATACCTAACATCTGAGTACTCAGCATTTATGATATGTAACAACTCATTCAATTCTTATAACATTCCTATAAGGAAGTGAGAACTATTATCTCCATTTTATGGATGAAGAAATTGAAGTATAGAAGAGTTGGGTCACCTGCCCAAGATCACACTTGCCATTTAGTCTAACTCCTGGGCCCACAGACTTATCTGTGGTCCAGCTGCTTCACCTAAGTGAATGACCTCATAGGCAAATAAATAGGGAACCAGACATTAAATAGAAGTCACCATACAGGTTAGGTGTTTTCACAGTGGAAAGGACCCAGTGCTCCTACTTCCAAGAGGTGAAAGTTTTGCAAAGCAGCCCATTTTATTGATGGGAGGCTCTAAATGTTAGAAAATCTTCCTTATATTGACTGGAAGCAGTCTTTTTATATAATTTTCACCTGTCCTTCTATATCCTCTGGACTTAAAAAAAGAGTATCACTCTTCTATAAGATAATCTTTTAAATATTTAAAAACACTATCATGCCATCTCCTTACTCTACTTCCTTAAACCAACCTCAAAGTAAGATGACTCTGAGACCTCTCACCACTAGGAGGTTCCCTTGATATGTTCTGTGGGGTTTAAATATTTGTTTGACTTCTTTGTTATTTTAAAAAATATTGGCCGGGCTCGGTGGCTCAAGCCTGTAATCCCAGCACTTCGGGAGGCCGAGGTGGGTGGATCACGAGGTCAAGAGATCGAGACCATCCTGGTCAACATGGTGAAACGCTGTCTCTACTAAAACTACAAAAAATTAGCTGGGCATGGTGGCGCGTGCCTGTAGTCCCAGCTACTCAGGAGGCTGAGGCAGGAGAATTGCCTGAACCCAGGAGGCAGAGG